CAATAACAGTTACTGGACTTGAGAAACCTATTTTCTTGAAAAAATTGTTTTATCGTAAGATAAAATTTCAACCGAAAAGTAAGATTGGCTGCTCGGTCAATGAATACCGAATGTTTCCTTATAAAGAAACGGCTGGTATTACTTATCATAACCAAACCAATGTATGTAATTCTAGTGATTTTAACATTTAAATAAATAATTAGGCTAGGCTTTATGAAGTTAAGCGCTGTACTTGTTTGCTGGCAATGTCTCATCAAAGTTGAAATTGCTAAATCTAACTGTAAATTCAATGCTAACAGTTTCTTATATAGAACTTCTCGCTCGTAGAACTCTCGTCCGGCTTCTAGCTTCCAAGGTAAGTTTCATCTTCAATGATTTAAATGCAATGTCCATCGTTAACTTCTGTCTTCTTAATTTTTGTTCTTTTCTTCTTTCCCTTTAATATTTTCTCCTTTTTTTTCCTCTCTCATCCTCTCTAACACTCAGTAACCTCTTGTGCCTTAGTGTTAAAATGAATTTAAAAAAATTGAATTAATAATTCTTACGAACATTTCTAGAAGATTATGGAAGAAGAAGCCTTATTAAAATTAAATTTTTAGTTTAAAATTATTTTATCTAACTAGTTCGGAAACAGACCTAATATTTATTTTTTCGTATGAGATTTATTTTGACAGTTTTAGGATCCCGAGGAAAAGTTCAATTTGTTAACTTCTGCCGACCAAGATAATCGAAACACAATGTCAACGTCGCAGCCACGTGAAAGAGATAAACCTTGGCTCATTCCTTGTCTAGTCATTATTTTCAGTGTCTGTTCATCTTAAGGGCATTTTGATAAATTAACTCAACGAGACTGTATTGGTTTACCATATTTTGCCATTCTTCCTTCAAGTAAGGAATTCTTTTTCCTTTCTTTTTTAGCACTCGTCTACTAAGATTTTATATTGTATTATTAATTCTGGTTACGCTCATTTTACTGAATAACAACTACAAAGACACTGCCTGAATCTATCTTACATATTTATAAGTCTACCATTCGTCCATTGTTAGAATATTGCTGCCACATATGGCCCGTTGCTCATGCTCTATATTTAGCGATTTGACAAAATCTAAAGAAGAAGCTGCAATGTCATTGGTTCTGGCCTGGCATCTCGCCCACAGGGCACATCCCAACAGCACTGATGTAGCCACATGCTGTGTATTTTATATAAATACTTTCATATATTTGTTCTAATAAACTTTCCTCTACAGTACCTAAACTTAGTGCATTTAAGCGCAGTACTAGATTGGGGGCAAGGTCTCATCTTTTTACAGTTGAAATGGTCAGATTTATACGTAAGTTCTATGCTAAGAGTTTCTTTTCTCGCACTTATCGGTTGTGGAATTCTCTTCCGGCCTCTTGCTTTCCTGTCAAGTTTGTTCTTCAAAAAATTAAATGTAATGTCAGTCGTTATCTTCTGTCTTCCTAACTTCTCTTTTATTTTACTTGCTCCTTAATAATGTTTTTCTTTTTCTTATATTCTTTCACAGTCAGTGACCCCCACCCCCACCACCAACTCCTGCGTCTTAGTGACCTTATTGCCTTGGTTGGGATGAAATGATAAAAAAAGAAATAGTTCTTTCCTAACAAATGAGGTGTGTTACTTTTAATCATTTCGCCTTAAGTAAGGCGTGAATGCCACTAAGACGAGAGGGTTTACTGGGTGCGGAATAAAATGCGATACTTACGCGAGGAGAAGATAGAATAAAAGAACAGGACTCAGGATCAGAGAAGCCGGCGAATGGCGTTGAATTTAAAATGTTTTGAGGTTGTCGATGGCAGGGAGGCAAGAAACCGGAAGAGAGTTCCACAGGCAAGAAGTGCGAGAAAAGTGACTATTAGAACTAGCTAATCCGGGGGTAAAAATATTAGCCAATCTAGCAGTACGCTAAAATTCACGTGGTCGAGGTAGAAAATGAAGAGCACATTAGAACACCTGGCATGAAAATATTTGTAGAAAATAAAGTGTGAAACCAATCTTGCTTTTATTGTTGCATTTCAAGACATTCTGTAAGACGGGATGAATAACAACTTTCAAGAGGCTTTAATTTCATATCACGAAAACAATAGTAACAGTTTTATTTGAATCAGGGTAAATAATGATGTAGCAATGTGAGGAGGGGTAGAAGTAAAAACGGAAGGACACTGGTACTAATTGTAATAATAGCAGTAGACATAACACGGAGAAAGGACACAAGGTGCCAAATGTAATAACACCTTGTAACACACAAATATACGAATTATAAGGCACAATTTAAGGGAAGTAGGTATTTACCCGTCTCTCCACTGACTGTAATGCATATTGTCTTATTCATATGTTTACTCACGGGGAGTAGTATGCACTCAGCTGCCTCATGGGTAATAGCCGTAGCTATTTATACGTTTGTGACTTCATATGTAAATGAGTCACCTCTAATATAATTTGCATATATAATATAGAAATAATATACACAATAAATTGCATATATATATATATATATATATATATATATATACTTACACATTTCACACACACACACACACACACATATATATATATAGGTTGAGTTTAGATGTAAGGGAAATCTGGCGAACTAGTTCTTTACTTGTACCACTTAATTAGCCGATTAAATAACACGTACTTGTTGAAATGTCGCTGGATAAAAACAACCAACCTCTTTGGGTCTCTCAGGTAGAATGAGAGGTTTTTAAAAATCGCGATAACTTTTCTAAGGAAGGGTCAGTAATTTCAGAGTTTTCCACTTTCCTCTCTATACAAATAATAAATACATAAAATAATATATAATATAATAATTTTCTTTTAAAAATATGATTCCATCGCTACATAAGAGTTCTCATGTTTCAAAAATAGAAGCTAAAAAACCAGCTCTATTTCATTCTCAAGTGAATTTTGGAATGTAGCGATGGAATTATTTTTTTAAAAAATAATTATAATTTAGGCTCTAATGTACTGAGCACTGTTTTTAAAAATAAAGACAAAAATACTAAAGAACTTTGAATTATTAACCTAACGTTTCTTTCCTATTTTTCTATATATTTGCACACATAAAATAATGTATATATATATATATATATATATATATATATATATATAAAACATCTCTCATTTTAAAGGATTAAATATAGGTAGCATAAAGTCTAGAGCCTTCAGTTTGTCTTTTTAATCTAGTTGATTTAAGTCTCAAAATGACTGATTTATTTGTTTTTTTACAGGTTATCAAGCTTTTGCAGGTTATTTAAAGGCATAGCATATTTTACTGTTGTAACCTGGGGAAGGTTAATGAATAGAATAATCACTTGAAGGTTGGTAATGAATGATAATACTTAGAACAAGAACAACACATATAATATTCACCAGCGGTGTGTAGAAGTAGTCAACTGCTAAAAGTGAGTCAAGTGAATTTCACAATGAATCTCCAACTGCAGGATATCTACCAACCTCCATACACGCTCAGATTTGGCACAAGGCCGAATTTAATGAGGAGTATCCGAGCCCGTAGGCTCGGCCAAAAATTCCCCATAGACCATGTATAAAACGGGGATGGGTAGCTGCTTTTTGAGACAAGATTCTGCCCTTCGACATAGCCTCGTCTGGGGATCCTCTCTGCTCAGAGAATATGACGTTTGTCGTGATGAATATATCTCTGATTAATAAATAAAAATCGATTAGCATCGTTTTGTCTACTCTTCGAATACTGTTGTAAACTAGGGAAGGTTACTGAATACAATAATCATACTAAGGTTGGTAATGAAAAATAATACTTAGGACAAGAACAACACGCATAAGATTCGCCAGCGTAGGATCAGCCAAAAATGTCCCGTATAAAACGGAGTCGTTTAGCTGTTTCTCGAGACGAGACTCTGCCCCCCAACATATCCTCGGCTGGGGATCCTCTCTGCACGGAGACAGAGTGTTTGACCAGCACAACTGGAGACGAATCTCCAACTGCAGAACATCTACCAACCGCCCCATGCGGCCAGATGTGGTACAAGGTCGAATTTAATGTGAGATATTCGAGCCCGTAGACTCGGTCAAATATTCCCCGTAGACCCTGTATAAAGCTGTTTTCCGAGACGAGACTCTGCTCTTCGACATAGCCTCATCTGCGGATCCATCTCTGCCCGGAGGCAGAGAGTTTAACCAGCACAGCTGTAGACGAATCTCCAACTTTAGACCAACATAGAGTATTTACTACTGTATTTATGTGAATGGGGACATACCCATTATCTTCCGTAGGTATGCTACAACAGATACGAAACTGAATAATTTCGGCATTCTAAACAAGAGGGATGGGCTCAAAAGGCAGTATGATTTTTAGCGTAAGGACTAATGCTCTACTCAACTTCTTAACAAGTGTCTTTAAAAATGACGGTTTAAGTCACATGAGCTCATAGCTTCACCATTGCAAATTGATACAAGACCAAAACATCAACCTGCAAAACTCTAGTCATGTTCTTAAAATGCCTCGTCAAATCGACACTTTCCTCTGGCGCTAGATCCGGACATAAATATCTAAACTGTCAGCTGCATACAACCGCTTCTTAAGAAAAAGGCTTTGAGCTGCTAAAGCCTTAGGGTCTTATCGAACAACTTGTTTGGATATTGTTGGCTGGCGCTACTGAATCACAAAAAAAGAACTGTACCAAATAACATCGACCATATTGGGCGTAAATATAACAAAGCAGACTAGAATCGAAACTCGGCTCTCCGTGTCTATATTCATTATACCACCTGCATATCCAATTTTACAGGACCTGGTATCCTCAAATGGTTCTCCAGCTACGTACTGACTCGACTTGAATTTCAAAACAATGAGTGTGAGATTGGAGAAGAGAGTGAAAATTATCGAAATCTCACAAAGAATGAACCAACGTAAAATCATTAAGACGCTTGAAAATATCAAAGCATGTTATACGACTGACTCAGAAGAAGAATGCCGATGTTTCGAGTGAATTTGTGTCCTACGGTCAGATCACGTTGAAACACCGCTCCTCGTCCAACTACCGAATTTAAGCAACGTCGAACCTGGTCAGTACCTAGATGGGTGACCTCTTGGGAATATTAGGTGCTGTATGTGTGGATAAAGTCTCGGAATGAGTAATTGAAGATCTGATTTGGAATTCCAATCGGGTTCGTTAAATTCACTTAGGGACAAATAACCCATAGTAAAGGTATGAATCGATCTTTCCTCCCGCTCCCAAAGTATGGATAAATAGCAGGATAGATTAAGCCTCATAGCCTTACATTTCAACCTGTCTAAGAGAAAGAAACTGAAAGTCTGAAGGGAGTTGAGCTCTGTCGGGCTATCTTGCTGAAGATACAGCACTTCTCCCCCAGTTATGGGTTAAATAATAAAATATGTAGTGGAAAATCATTTTTTTTTCAAAAAAGGAACTTATTACAATTCAAAAATACGTTTCGTTTTTAAATATTCTGCAAAAAAGTTGATAAGCCATTTTGGATATGAAAAAAAAATCTAGTGGATCTTTGAGAATAGTTGCCTAAAAATAGTAATAATGAATGAAAACAGCAATACAACCTGAGTGTCAATTCGTACAGTAAGAACAAATATATAAAAGTCACGTAAATGGATGCATTGCACCAAAATGCTATTATTACCCCCACCCAACACACACACACACACACACGACCACCCCTCCCCCCACACACAACAATGATTGAGACGAAAACATGAGACAAAAGAACATCTGCTATAGGATAATGAAAAAAATGGACAAAAAATGATATATAAGAATGAAAGTAAAATAGAACTGAATGCTAATGCAAGTACCGTCAGAAGTAAGCAATTAGTACAAGAAACAATCCAAGGCAAGAAAGTTAGATTGAATTATATATATATATATATATATATATATATATATATATATATATATATATATATATATATATATCCACTTCTTCTCCCTCCAGCTATGGGTAAAATAGCAGGACAGACTGGGTTCTATAGCCTCGGATGGCAACTGGTCTAGGAGAAGGACAACTCTGAATTCAAAACCTGCGGAGAATTGTTTGGGGACCTGGTGGCACGTAGTGCACCAGGTCTCTGTATTCGGCCCTTCAAAAAGTGTGGATGGTCCTGCACGAAACCTTCACCACTATAATCAAATCTTATGTGCTGTTGTCGGGCTGTCGGTTTCCTAGGAACTGATCTGCTTGACCCTCATACGTCGAATTCGACGGGAGAATCGACTATATACATACATACATATATATATATATATGTGTGTGTCTGTGTGTGTTTAGTTGGATTGATGTGAGTTTGTTATTTAGTTGGATTGTTATTTAGTTGAATTGATGTGAGTTATTTAGTTGTACTGATGTGAATTAAACTAAATATTTTAGTTGGATTGGTGTGAGTTTAACTAAATATGTTAGCTCTATTTTTGATTTTGAGCGCTTTCCAATAAGTGCCGCCATATAATATATATATATATATATATATATATATATATATATATATATATATATATACACATACACTTTTCATATATATATATATATATATATATATATATATATATATATATATATATAACCAAAAAATATTTTTAGAAGAACAGTATAAATAGAGACAACAGGGGAACTTATCTTAGCCGACGCATTTCGTCCTCTGATCAAGGTAAATATAATGATCTGAACTTAACAAAAGATGGCACGTTGTGCCGAAGCTGAACAAAAAAAAAAAAAAAAAAAAAAAAGAAAAAAAAGAATGGTTTTTAAATTTAAGTATAAAATGTGAATATTGCTAAAAGTAATATAATAATTTAATATTGTAGTGTTATTAACTTGCGGGGAGTAGTATGCACTCACCTGCCTCATGAGTAATAGCCGTAGATATTTATACATTTGTGACTACATATGTAAATGAGTCACCTCCGATATAATTTGCAATTATTATTTATTTCATTAATATATATATATATATATATATATATATATATATATATATTATTGTCATTATTATTATTATTATTATTATTATTATTATTGTTGTTGTTGTTTGAAATGATATATGCATTGTTGATTATTTCTTACAAATTTTTCCACCGTTGCCGAAATTTTCTGTATTTGCATTTATTTGTTTACAATTAACCTGAAGATTGTCTTATATTTACTTTCTGTTTTTGATTGCCAAAAGTTAGATTTATCAACTTTGAATCTTCTACTTTAGTTCATTTTTATCACTTAATAGTTTAGGAATTAGTACTGTCAAAAGACAGTATAAATTATACTATTATCTATGTTAAATAATGACCTCGTAATCTTCGAGAATTTTAAGCTTTGCAAGAAGTATTTTCAACAAAAGTAAAAATGTCGTAAGTTTTTCAGGAATTTTAAATTTAATAACGCACATAAATATTCATCAAAAATTATGGAGGGTGGCAATTTAATGTCTAATAAACAAAAGTGAGGAATTCTTTTAATAATGCCATTAATATTTATATTATTTTAATTTTGGCAATTAATTTATGTAACATATATTTTAAATAATACAAGGTGATAAATTTAACCGTTTTCTTTTCATTTTTAACATTGTTATAGTCATGTATGTTGGCTTGGGAAAGGAATATTTTTTTCACGAACGGAGATAATTGAACAAATCTGGGGTTCAGATTTATATTTTGATAAAACTCAATAGCGACACTCTCAAGAATTTTCCGTCGAATTATGTTACTTTCTCTTTCAAAAAGTATGAGATTCTTTAGATTGAAGTTGTGGTTAATTTATTTTTGTGTATAACTAATTTAGTAAGAGTGAGAGTGAAAGAAGGAGAGAAAAAACGAGAGGCAGTGAAAGGGTAGAGAAAGAAAAATGAAGGGGGAGATTGAAAGAATGAGGGGGGAACAAGAAATATGTTTAAATGGCAGTGAAAAAAAGAGAGAAAGAAACAGAAAGAGAAATAGAAAGAGAAAATGAAAGAGAGAGAAAGGGTGCAAAAGTTCAATAGGCAACGAAAGAAAGAGAGATGGAGTGAGAGAGAGAGAGTGAGAGAGCGTGTGAAAGAAAAGAAGGAAGAAAGAAAAAGAAATGGATGAGGAGGGAATGGAAGAAAGAATCAGCCAAAAAATAAAATTGTTTGATGGACAGTGAACGAGTGTGTGTGTGAGAGAGAAAGAGAACGATAAATGGAAAATGAGTGAAAGAAATAGAAAGGCAAGGCAAGGGAAGAGTTTGGTAGATAGTATAAGAAAGAAAGAAAGAAAGAAAGAAAGAAAGAAAGAAAGAAAGAAAGAAAGTATGAAAAAAGAAAGAAATGAAAAATGAGTGAAAGAAAAAGAATAAAGAAATAAAAAAGAAAGAAATGGAGAATGAGTGAAAGAATGCAAGAAACAAGAAAAAGAAAGAAAAAAGAAAGACAGTATGAAAAAAGAAAGAAATGGAGAATGAGTGAAAGAAAGAAAAAAGTATGAAAAAAGAAAGAAAGGGAGAATGAGTGAAAGAAAGAAAAAAGTATGAAAAAAGAAAGAAAGGGAGAATGAGTGAAGGAAAGAAAGAAAAAAAGAAAGAAAAAAGAAAGTATGAAAAAGAGAGAAAGCAATGGAGTATGAGTGTAAGAAAGAAAGAAAGAAAGGAAAAAGAAAGAAAAAAGAAAGAAAAAGAAAAAAGAAAGCATGACAAAAAGAAAGAAATGGAGAATGACTGAAAGAAAGAAAGAAAGAAAGAAAGAAAGAAAGAAAGAAAGAAAAAAGAAAGAAAGAAAGAAAGAAATAAAGAAAGAGAAAGGAAAGTATGAAAAAGGAAAGAAATGGAGAATGGGTGAAAGAAAGAAAGAATGAAAAGAAAGAAAGAACGAAAGAAAAAAGAAAGAAAAAATTGGAGAATGACCGAAAGAAAGAAAGAAAGAAAGAAAAAAGAAAGAAAGAAAGAAAAAGAAAGAAAGAAAGAAAGAAAGAGAAAAGATAGAAGAAAAACAAAAATGTTTGTTAGTAAAAAAAAGAAAGAAAGAAAAAAAAAAGAAAAATGAAAGAGGCAAAACAAATGTTATTGATAGAAATAAAGAGAAAGAGAAAAATAAAAAGATAGGAAGACAAAGGGAGAGAGACAGAGAGTGAAAAATGAAAAAGAAATGTCAAGGGTAACAAACGATGATAAATTTACGAAGATATAGATAATGAGATATCAAGAGAAAGAGGAAGAGATTGAGTGAAAAAGAGAAAGAGGAAGAAAGAAATCAAAAGAGAAAAAAGTGAGAGAACGACAAAGAGTTAGAATGTAAAAGGATGTGCGGATGGTGCAATGAATAACGTCTCGGAATGAGAAATCGAAGAACTTTCGAATTCCAGTTGTGTTCATTAAATGCAAATAAACTTGGAAAAAGTACGAATCTATCTTTTACCCAAGTTATGGGTTAAATAGTAGAACATGTATCTGGGGAAATCATGGTTATTCTAAAAACTGTTAATGCAATAATGTCTCGAAAGAAAGAATTCTTCTTACAATTTAAAATACGTTTCAGCTTTAACTAAACCAGAAAGTGTTGATAAGCCGTAAAAAACAAACAAACCAATGAATATTTTATAAAATAACTGGAAAACTTAGAGTGAAAGAGAGCTATCGAAGAACGGAGGTCGATAGTAAATGGGTGCGTTTAAAATAGCCTCCATGTTCTTTCTTGCAAAAGGCAGGTTCTAAACACATCCGGCAACCTTCCATCGATTATTTCCTCAATTATGATTAGACACGTCTCTCGTAACGATCCCATCACACCAGAGCCGCCACTTCAAAGACGATCGTTATAATTCTCTCTATCATGTTGTGAAATGTCCTTACACTGACTTTCAACTTGTTTTTTGGTTTGGTTAATAAAGTATTTCAACTCAGTAGCTATGCTGATGACACAATCGTTTATTCTTGTCTTAATAGAATGCCTGATTGGTTCGATAAGGTCAAATTGGCAGCTGATCTAAAAAAAATGTTCTACTTTCTGTTGTTAACTGGGGCACGAAATAGCTTGTTAATTTTTGTTATGTTGGAACACACTTATTCTATAGTTAATAGACTCTCCCACCTATAATACATAGGAGTATTAAGAGTAACGAGTCAGTCAGCCGA